GCCCTGAGAGGGTGGCATTGTGAAGTGACTTGCACAGGTAGACAGTCCTGGGCGAGAACCCAAGCTCTGCCACTTCTTAGTTCTGTGCTCGTGTCACTTAAATGTCCTAAGTCTCAGTATCCTCACCCATAAATTGGAGAAAAAAAGAGCAACCCTTTCACAGGCTATTGTGGCAGGGGTTGATTCGGTGATGGCATTGGTGAGGGTTCTCTGGCTGTTCCTGGCACAAAGAAACTCAGTACACTTGGAATCCTTGCCCTCTGGAGGTTCCAGGAAAGTGCAGAGCTGTGGCCTGAACCGGATGGTGGAAAATAGTGAAAAGAACTGATGATGGAGGTGGAGCACAGGGAGGGCGCACTGGATGGTCCAGAGTAAGTGCGTGGGGAATGAGAGGAGGGTTTTAGTGCCCAGGACTGGTAGGGGTTTCTAGAGGGGCTGGGCTCAGACAGTCCCTGGTGATGTGAACCAGGTGGGCACTGTGCAGGACGCTGCTCTTGGGTTCAGCAGCAGGGTGGGGAGTCAGTGACAGGTCTCCGCAGCATGTCACAACTGCTCCCCGGGGACCCTAGCAGTTCCTGGCTCACCTCCTTCGGCAAGAGACTCTGTGGGCTCTGTCTCCGGATGTCCGTTGGTGTCAGTTCCCACCTGGCATTTGACAGAGGTGGCATTCCTATGCCCCACTCCAAACTCCAAACAGAAGTGAAAGCCTTCTGAATTCCCCAAGGCAGAGAAAAATGCAGAGCTTTCACTGCAAGCAAATGGGAAGATATAGTTCTTTCTCTGTTTAAAAGTCTCATCAAGGGGATGGGAGCCTAGTCAGTTTTTACCAGTTAACACCATAGCATGGGAACAGCCTTTCTTCTGCCAGGATGAGCCTTCTGTTTTCATTTCTCATTAACTTGTCTCATTTCTGCTAAGATTCTATTCCTGAGAATTGCCTCTGTCTCTCTCATCTCCCTGCATGCAGCAATTCAGTAGGAAGTCAGGATACAAGGAGGAAAGCTTGGTACAAGGTCTTTGGACCTTTGCTAAATCTCTCTGGGTTTTGGTCTGAGATGCGGCGTCTATGAAGCTGTGTACTCTGGAGGCGTACAAGCCAGCTCACATCACCTGCACACACCCACACTTTACAGGGGGCCAGCTGGTGGGGGCACGCTGCATTCTGACATCTGTCCCAGGGGAAGAGAACCTTCATTGGGGGTTATGCTGAGACCAGGGACGGTCTCTGTAATGCACCTGGCACAGGGCCTGGCAATAGAAGGTGCTCAACAAATGAGTGACTAAAAAGGAACCAACCCAAATCCCCATCAATGATAGACTAGACAGGGAAAATGTGGCACATATACACCATGGAATACTATGCAGCCATCAAAAATGATGAGTTCGTGTCCTTTGTAGGGACATGGATGAACCTGGAAACCATCATCCTCAGCAAACTGACACAAGAACAGAAAATCAAACACCGCACGTCCTCACTCATAGGCGGTTGTTGAACAATGAGAACACATGGACACAGGGAGGGGAGCATCACATACTAGGGTCTGTGGGGGGGAAATAGGGGAGGGTCAGCAGGGGGTGGGGAGTTGGGGAGAGATAGCATGGGGAGAAATGACAGATATAGGTGATGGGGAGGAAGGCAGCAAATCACGCTGCCATGTGTTTACCTATGCAACAATCTTGCATGTTCTTCACATGTACCCCCAAACCTAAAATGCAATTAAAAAAAGGAAAAAAAAAAAAAGAGAAATAGAAAAACTGATTTCAAAGAGCAACACATACACTCAAGTGGAATTTTCCATTGCAGACCAGGCTGTGGCCTAGGGGCACAGTGGGGTAGGGCCAGCTAGGACCCCTTCAGTTGATAAAAGCGGGCACCCACAGAGGCAATGAACTGTAGCTACTGGGGTAGGGGAGGGGAAAGACTTCATCTGAGTTCTCCGGTTCCAAATGCCATGGAAGTCTAGAACGCTCTTTGGAAAAAAGAAGTATCTGAGTAAGCAACATTCTCCCTGGCCCCCAATTTCTTCCTCTGCAAAAAGAGGATTGTAGTGCATGCACCCTATGCCATTGTGGCTTTAATTTGCATTTTCCAAATAGCTATTGATGTTGAATATCTTTCCACATGCTTATTTGCCATGTGTATATCCTCTTCTGTAAAGTATATCTCTCTATCTTCTGTCCATTTTCTAAGTAGATTTTTAACTTTATTGCATTTTGAGAGTTATTTTTATATTTTAGATATTAGTCTTTTGTCAGATATGTGCTTTGCAAATATCTTCTCCCAGTCTATAGCTTGTCTCCTAATTATCTTAAAAGGACATTTCTCAGGGCAAAAGTTTTCAGTTTTGATGAAGTCCAATTTATTAATTTTTCCTTTCACAAATTATACTTTTGGTATCATATCTAAGAGTTCCTTTCCTAATCCTAGATTCTGAGGATTTTCTTGTGTTTTTTTCTAAAAGTTTTATAGTTTTATGTTTTACAGTCAAGTCCGTTATCCATTTTTTCTTTTTTTTTTTTTTTTACCATATGTGAAACTTACACTGAGGTTTGCATTTGCTATGGGTGTCCAGCTGCTCCAGTCCTATTTGTTGAACAGGAATCTTAAATATTTTTAAAAACACTAATCAGTCATTTTAATACTAATATCTGATAACTCACTTGTGGTCACTTGTAGGTTTGTTTCTTTTGTCTCTTTTTTCTCTTGATCCTGTTTTTTTGGGGTTATACCTGTTAGTATGTGATTGGATACTGGACATTACAAATCAAACATCACGGTGGTTATAGATAATATTTTCCTTCAGAAAGTATTTACCCTATCCTCCATCAGTGAATGTGGAATTGTAGACGTCTTTATTTTTGTCAGTGGCTGAATGCTTTGAAACTTAGTTTCATGCTTTGGAGGGACTGGTTTGCCCCTTATGCACACACCCACTTTCAGAGTCTAGCTTTCCCAACCAATATCCTGGAGTATTTACCAAGGCTTATCTTCCTGTGTGGGTCAAAAACTCCAATTTTTATTTCCCCAGCATCCAACTCTCTAATCAATTGCATTTCAGATACTTTCTGTTTGGTTTCTTTGTCTTTAGCCCTGTGCTGCATTAAGGGTGTTTTGGAGGGTGGGGAAGAAATAGATGCAGTATGTTTGTTTGACTTTTCTGCACCTCCCTACTTTCAGGCTTCTGAATCCTTCACGTTCTATTTCTGCATACTCAGACTCTAAGTATTGTCTCCTCCGTCCCATGATGCTGCCAAAAGCTCTCCCAAACTTTGAGGTCCTCTTCAGCCGAGCCTCTGTAGCCTCCCCACTGCTGCTGTAACTCACACAAGCAGAGGACCACCTGCCGCAAGACACAGGGCTCACCCAGGGCACCCCTTCTCTCCAGGACCCGAATGCTTAGGGCCTGCCTCTTCTCATGCCTTAAAACAGCCTTTTTGTTTTGTTCTTTGATGTAAATTATTTCCAGTTGCCTTTGCCTGTACTCTTAGTCTGCTGTAGGTTGCTCTGTCGTAGTTGAAAGAAGTCCTCCAGACTCTGTGTTTTAACCAAGGTTTGCCTGACTCTGAATTCCTTGATCTTTGTTCTAGCAAAGCTCACTATACAGTTTTCATGAAAACACACTTATAAATAAGAAAACTCTTTGATAAAAGATTCATGCACAAAGACAAACACAGCTCATGCTTCACATACACTGCACCTAGGGTTTTCTATTTTTACTGCATGCATCAGGAAACAGCCACTCTGGATACTTTTGAGGTAATGGTCTAGGTTCTAATTTAAATACAAAAAGGAAACCACCATCACCACCTGGAGGGCCTGGCATCTTCTGTGTCCTGAATGACACAGGCCCCCAGGCATGCAGAAAGAACCACAGCCCCCTGGAGCTATGCCACCTGCCTGGGGCTCTGACCCATTCCTGCAGAATGGCTGCGCCTCCATCCCCGCTGTATGGCGATGTCCTTGGGGTGCTTTAGACCTTACGTCTGCGGACTCTAATAAAGCAGGAAGGATGGAAGGGGTGTCTTAGCAGAGCCGCGTCTATTCACAGCCACCCACCCACCCACTTGGCATCTCTGTCTCAGGACTCCCAGCGTTCCATGCCTCCCTGCTTCCCAGGGAGTCTCTGTGGGTTCTTCTGCCTGGCTCCCTTGGGATCTTACCTCTCATCACATGCTCACTTGCGTCACCTGCTTCAGCCAAACCACAATCCCTGGAAATTCCTGAAACTCTCAAGGTCTCTCAGGCCCCTGCTCCTTGGCAATGCCAATCAAAACAGCCCTCTCTTCCTTCCTGCCCTTCTCTGGGCTGTCACACAGGTATAAGACACCACCTCGGGGAAGCCTTCCTGGATTTCCGAGCTGGGTGAGAGGGAGGTGCCTGTGGCTGGGGACCCACCCCTGCCCTCGGCCATGGCAGTCTGTGCCTGACTGCCATTTATGCTCTGTTTGTGTCTAGGCCTCTGGCAGTGTTTGCCCCTCTTCCAGGAAGCAGTCCTTACCGCGGGGTGGTGCTGCTGAAGTCAGCCCGAGTCCGAGCTTTCCAGGCTGAGCAAACACTAGCAGGGCCTAAGGAGACACGCAGCCTCATTTTAAAAGTTGGGCTGGGAGTGCTGGCAAGGCTTCAGTGGACTGAAGGAGAAAAAGGGACTGAGGACTTTGGATTTTCATCCACGGCATGGCCAAATACTGAACAGTAAATATGAGCTGGGCAGGTTCCTGGGTCAGGGCACACCAGCCTGGCTAAAGCACCACACCCCCATCTCCTTGTGCTCGGATGGGGAAACTGAGATACAGAGGGGGGTGCCCAGGCTGCCCCTGCCCTCGTCTCGGGTATTGGAATTAGGTGAGCCTGTATGAGACCATAAAGCCACCATTTTGGAGCTAGGACAGGATGATTCTGGAGAAGATGGGGAGGCTGAGGGGATGGGATCTTGCACTCAGGGTAATTCGGGGAGAGATCTCATCTGAGCACCCGGCAGGAGAGAGACGGCACAGTCAACTAGGCTATGAGGAGGGGTTTTAATGAAGGGACTCCTCACAAAGGTGTGGGTGTAGGCAAACCACGAGGCGGCAAAGTCTCCTAGGCCTCAGAACTTCGGGGCCCAGGACCCTGGACGGAGGGTATTAGGGGAAGGGGTCAGTGGAACCAGAGATGAGTGAGCTTCTTGACAGCAGCTGCGGCTTCTGTTCACTTCTGGAAGACGGCGGACTGCCCTGTTCCTGCTGAGGGAGGAGCAGCTGGGCGTCTCTACCCTGGCCTCCCAATTCCCTGGCCTCCTCCCCGCCCCTCTAACCTCCTCCTGGGAGCCTCCCCTGGCCAAACCCAAGGCAGCTACACTAATGGCCTTTGTGGGTCAGGGCAGGGCAGCGGGGGTGGAGGCGGGGTGTGCAGGACACAGGGACAGCTGGGGGGAAGCGCACTCTGTAGTGAGGGCAGGAGGCCTGGAGCTTTGCAGTCTCTGTCCTGGGCCCCTAGCCCCACTGTGTCTGCACACGGGCGGGCTGATGTGTGGCCCTCCCGAGAGTTCTGGCCCTCCATTCCACTCTGCTCTGCACGCCAAACCCCAGGAGGTCAGTGCTGGGGTTCCAGGCCCTGCTACTCCCAGGGCACACTCCGCTTTTCCCTCCTGCGGAACCCTAGAATCAGGTCGGGGTCTCCTTTCTCAGTACCTTTACTCCCTTTTTCTTCCTGTGCCAGTAAAAGGAACATCTGGGCCAAGAAACAGGGTGCAGTCAGTCAGGGAGGAGGTGTGTCTTCTCTGGGGATGCTGGGGCTCGGAGAGGTCACTCACCCACCTCCGGCTATGACCAGGAGCAGAGCGCTGCTGAGACTCACAGCCCACCTGGAGGTCCGCTGCTTCCTGGCTGGGGTGTGAAACGGGGAGCCAGGTGTTTGGAGGCCAGGCAGGGCTACCTCGGCTCACAGAGAGGGCTACCAGCCTTTCATTCTTTGATTCATTCACCCATCATTTGTTTGCAAACACTGAGCACTGCTGTGTGCCCGGCACATATCTAGACAAGCAAACAATTGTGGTGTGGGGTTCAACGGAAATAGGACAGGACATGGGAGGGGAAGTTAGAGCGAGGATGGCTGAGAAGCCTTTGGGGTGGGAGGTGATCAGGGAAAGCGTCTTAGGAAACGGGAGTCTGAGCTGGACGTGGGAACACAAATAGGCTGGACAGGGTGGTGTTCACTGACCTGGGCAGAAGGCGGGATCATCACAGGAGAACAAGCGAGTCTTGCAGTCGGCACAGCTGGTGACCTTCACTGTGGACTGTATGTCTATGGGAGGTACAGGGGCTGGGGGTGCCAGGTGCCCTTCATCCCTCCCCCAGGCCCAGTCCCCAGGCGTACTCACCACAGGACTCATTGCAGGCTGCCGGGGAGGGTGAGAAGGTAGAGAAACTGAGGTGCTAAGGAGGCAGACAGAGCCAAGGGGATCTGGGCTGCATGTAGGAGAGGGAGCTGGGAAGGTGTTCACGGGCAGGGGTGGGGCTCCGGGGAAGGGCTGAGGGGGCTGCAGAGTGAACTCTGCGCTGGGTCTTGGGAGGGTCAGAGAGCTGGGCTGTGTGTAGGAACTGTCTCCACCCCTTACCCTTCTCCTTCAGCCCATCCGATATCTCATTCAGCCTCTCAGAAAACAGATTCTTGTGCATGCGAATCTCTTCCAGAAGTACTGTTTTGTCTGGGTAGAGCAGGAGGGAAGGAGAGTTCGATGTTACAACTTGCTCAAGGTTGGGTTTTCACACCCTTGTTTCTAAACCGGAAGTTCCGAAGAGCACACAGAGACAGACTGCATTCATCCCCCACCTTCACGAGACCTCCGCCTATGGCCACATGGGCCTCTGAGAATGCCTTGGAGGATGGGCCTTTGTCAACCCAAGCTCCAGGGCCCTGGGACTCTTGGCTTCCTCACCATCTCGTAACTGCTTAATGGCTTGGTGTACTTTAGTGAAGAATTTGGCTGTTTCTTCTTCCAAATGGTCACGATCTGAGGATGAGATACAGGTTGAAGGGAAGTGAAGGGAGTAAGATTTCAGGTCAGGTAAAGGGGCCAGATCCAATCCCTGATCTCCTGGCTATGCCTCACCAAGGTACCAGGGTTTGAGCAAATTATTATCCTCTAGAAATAGTGAGTGAATGCTTTGAGAAAGTTCTGTGGGTGGCCCCGGGCTACCCCAGAGAATCTGCAGGTCATAGTCTATCAAGGCAGACAGTTCTGGCCAGCAGCGGAGGCAGTTCTTCCCTTCGATGGCGGGCAGCAGACAGATGATCAGGAGATGCAGCATCTTCTGGGGTCCTCCTACTGTGCCCCAGTGCCCTGCCTGGCAGTTCCAGGTAGAACACTGGTGTTCTGTCCCCCTGGTAACCACATTCTCTTGGCAGAACAAAGTGCATTCTGTAGGGCAAGGCAAGGGTCAGCTGTGGTGTCATGATGCCAACCCCAGCTTTGGCATCGGACCCAAGTGGGAACCTTGGTACATAGTTCCTCCTCTGAAATTGGAGTCACATGCTCAGCAGGGAATGTCCTCGTGAGGATCAGAGGAAAGGCTGCACTGCCTGGTGGTGGGTGCTCAGCCATCTTGACTGTGTTCATTTGGTGTGGAACAGTTTAACAGGAATGAAATTTGAGAGTTAGAAAAGAGCAGCACAGCAAGAGGGTTAGCTGAGTGAAGAGAATCAGAATCTCTTCACGCTTTTCCACAAAGAAGTGGCCAACCAAGGAGAAGGTAATGGAAAATACATGTTTTCATAGCCTGTATAAACTGGCAGTGGACTCGTGTTTGGTCAAGCCAGAGGGGCCCAGCAGCTAATACCGTGGTGCAGGCAGAGTATAGACAAGTTCCAGCCAGCGGTGCACGGAAGTGCAGAGAGAGAAGCCACCTTCAGGGCAGTGGTTCTTTTGTACAATGTGCCCTGA